TGACCTGGATGACTGAGAACCTTCACAGACACAAGTGAACATATTAAGATTTTCACTGGGAGTGAGCAGGATGGACAGGATTAGAAAGAAGTACATCAGGGGGACGGCTCAGGTCGAGCAGCGTGGACATGTGCAGTGGAGAGGGTCGTGGATATGTTGGACAAAGGAATACTGAAGCTGGTAGGCAGGAAGAAAGAGGGAGTCCCCAGTAAAGGTTCATGGATGTAGTGAAGGATTACATGAAGAGAGTTGATATGACAGAAGAGGATGCTGGGATTGGGTGAGATGAAGGCAGATGATTTGCTGTGGCGACCTGTAAAGGAAATAACCGGAAGAAGACAGTCCAACCCGAGTTCAGGGTCAGTTGGTATCTCTTAAATACAGAGAGCAGCTGCTTCTGCACATTGAGTTGATTGCTTTATGAGTCGAGTTTATGAACTATTAATTCATACCCTGACTGCTCCATACACATGATTTCTGGTGCTTTTACACTCAGAGGCCACCAGGTGGTCATACAAATGATTAGAATGAGTAAGGAAACTGGATCAGTGTTCTGGATTTCTCTGCAAACCTTCCAGAAACATTAATAAATGTTCCGCCGACATCTCTCAAGAGTTGACTGACGGACAGATGACACAGTACACGTGTTCGGTATTTCATATTGCACTTTATTCACCTCTGAAGAGGCAGAAGCGGTCTGGGCTGAGACCTCGTCGCTGTCACAGATCAACACTTATTGCTTTCGGGCTCTCGCACGTGTCGGACCCATCTCAAGTATACTCACACTGAAACTTTGTGTACATGTACATATGTAAATGAATATGTGTATGTGTGTGTGCCCCAACACTGCAGAAAACACAGCACCTCGTGTCTTTGGGTGAAGGAATAACGCTGAGTGATGGGATGAGCAGAGAAACCGGAGAAACGCTGAGGTTTGACACGACATGAAGGTGAAAACAAACCGGAAAAAAATAATACACAACAATGTGATGTTCTCGTCAGCTACTCCACACAGAGACGAATAAAGGCCTTCACTTTAAAATTACATCCTGTCCCAGAAAATCTCATATCGCAGTACCCAATTATTTCTCAGCACAGACGTCGCTGCGGGCTTCGTGGGCTCCACTAATTCAGCTTAAAGCTGCTCTGTTTAATCTTCATGGCAACAACAGATCTAATGACGACTCGCGCGTTTTAGATGCGGCTCGTAGTGAAAAAAAGCAGCAGGAGAGAGCAGCAAAGGACACAAAAGTCACATTTCCATCAGAACGCTGCTCGAAATGTAATATCTTTGGGTCTTCATCCTTTGAAGCCAATAAACTGAGAGGGTACGGTGATATGACACTAGTGAAACCTGAAACTAATGAAAGCCAAGCTTCACTTGAGCCACATGCATAACAAGCCGTCGCCTTTGCCATTTATTCTCATGTTTCCAACGGTTCTGAGTGTTTTGAACACATGCAAACACTGACTTGTGGATGGTAATGCAGTTAAAATCAATGAGAAGTCTGTATCAGCTACATCAATACTATATAAACTGGAGAGCTGGTGTTATTGATCGTTTTAATCAGCTGATCCGACAACATCAGACAATCTCAGAGCATTTTGGTCAAAAAATGTGCCGATATGAAAAAGCTTTATACGGTTTTTATACTTTTTTGTTTGTGTTTTTTTTACTGAGCATGAGGCATAAAAGCGATATTTAGAAATTATATCATTCAGTTTCTGCAGCAGAGCAGCCTCGCCTCCATTAACAATGCTCTCAGAGCTCTCACAGCTGAGCCGATGGTACTACAGAGGTCGGTCCATCCTCATAGTGCAGCCGACAAATTGGTACTCCCGGGACACCTTTCACAAGTGGATACAAGTACCAAAGTCTTTTGTGGTAAAGTCAATTATCCATTTAAAAGCTCATTTTCAAGAGGCTTGCCAGATGAAGTCAGCTGGACTTGATGATTTTAAATGATCTTAGTGTCAAATTACACCGAGTCCACTGAGCAGAGTCAACTTTAGAAGTCTTTGTCTCATTTATAAACATTTGATTCAGAATAATTTACTAACAGGAGCGCAGGGGTGCAGGATGGACTGACAGGGTGTGCACCCAGGGTAAAAGGAGCTTTCACTGTTGTAAAATACATGAAGTGTAAATTCATTCTCATTGGATGAATATAGGCAGACACAGCTGTATTAACCACAGTACCTTTTTTTTTTTTTTAAATGGTGCTGGTAATTTGGACGCATAAGAGTCGCTAAATCAGACCAAATGTTCTATTTATGTTGGAAAATGAATGCAGAGAATCTTATTCTGTCTCATAAAATATCAGAAAACCTTAAAAGTACCCTCAGTGTTTGTATACTCTCATAAACACCAGTGTTGTAATGTTTCAATTATAGAATATTTTAGTTAGAAACGAAGCAAATAAGTTCTGAAGAAGCTTTTAAGCTGTACACTTGAGAATTCAACTGACTTCTCTATTTTTGGTGCTTGTATCCACTTTGTCGTCGTTACCTGCTACATTTGAGGGCAGACTGAGGGCAAGTTTGTGGAATAAACTGCTGACATGCCTGATATCTGAATTTTTTCCTCCCTAATAAAATGACATTTGCATTAGCCCTGAAAATCCAGCAGAGGTTCCCGATGACACCTCTCCAAACCAGTGCTAAGCGCTGCATTTCCACTTGGGTGATGTACCAGTAAGTCATTTTTGCACTGCCAGACATCCTTTTCTGTTGTATTGTTGAACTCAGTGGTAAATCAGGACCCTGTGCTGGGTTTACATTACACAACTCGGTGTGTTTTGCTGCGGCTAAATTGCGAAACCATATCGAGTCCAGCAGAGACGTCTTTGTGCTTGAAATAAGAGGTCAAAACCTTCCCGTAACGCCCATGACTTCATCTTTGTGATTGCATTAGCAGTGCGAAAAACCCCAAATCTAATTTGCTCTCCAAACTGTACCCCCACTAGTGTCCCTAATAATATGTGAGTATATCAGTATATTATCCCTACCTATTTAGAATATATTATTTTTTATTTTCTGGCCAACAAAAGTCAAAATCAATATAGAAGAAAAGAAAACAAGGGTGAGTTGTTTCCTCTCTAATCTGGATAAAAGTGTTTAAAGTGATTGCTAAGATTAATTCATTAGTAATACTTTTAAAGGTTATGTGATGAACAGCCTGCAGAGGGCAGTATTTCCCAGCTGCTTCCAACCATCAAAGCAGGCGAACTGCTTCTTAATGCTGAGACGGCAGGGCAGCACTGCACATGCAATCACACTCAGCCTCCAGGGGAAAAAGTCATATCCTCTCACAATCTCTTGATGTCGGGTCAACATGTCAAATGGGTCACATGACAGGGATTACGGGGGACTACGTCACACGATGGGGGTGAAGAAGGCCTCAGTGGTCCAGGATGCGGAGGTTGCCGGATACGATTTTGTTTTCCAGCATGGAGCCAGCCGGAATATCGATCCGATCTCCGTGGTTGGCGATGATGATGACGGTGCCCTGTGGAGACAGAAATGATGACAGGACTGAATTTAATTAAAGCCGTAAATCAAAAACAGAAGCACGCAGGTTCAAAGTCTGAAATTAATGTCTTCAATTCTCTCTGCACTTCTTCTCCACCACATTACTAAAACAGCGAGTTTCTTTTACTGTCGGCGAGCTTTCTGGATTTATTACGCTCAACATTGTTGTATTCAGAGTAAATTAAATAGCTGCAACATGTTTTGTGGCCATGAAAACAACTGTAGCTCACATGCTGGCATTATGGAACAAACGAAAACAAAACCAAATCTGACTGCAGAGCTTCACCTTAAGCGACACGTTTTTCCCAAAGGTGACGTCTCCGGACACCGTCAGATGGTCGAGCTCCAGCATGTCGGGAATGCTCTCGAAGCGGATCAAGTATTCCTGAACCTGAGCGCAGACACAGAGAAAAGTAAGTCAAAAGTAAGCATGTGAGCTTTTCAAGCCCACAGATCCTTTGGCAAATTAAATTACCGACTAAATACCGTCACTGAGAATCGGAAATTTGGGGGCATCAGTGGTGTAACCTCTGAGGATCAGGAGATTACTCAGAAACCTTCTTGGAAGAATTTATTGATTTTATGACCCAACTTTAGCATCCCATTTAACATCTGCACACGCAGTGACAGATGTTCCGATGTTTCCACAGCTGGTGTGATTACCTTGGTGAAGGAGCTGCCCAGTTTGACGTGCGGTGTTGTCGGGAACTCTCTCTTCGGGCTCATGTTGAGCGAGCCGGCGTCCAGGCTGTACAGGTTGGACATGACCAGGAGCAGGTCCGACGTAGTCTTGACCGGCAGGAAGCGGCTGCGGGGAACGTTTATTCCCAGGGCGTTGTCGAAGCATTTGATGGCCGCACCCACCGCAGTCTCCAGCTGGATGACGTTCTGCCCGCCGTCGAGCGTCTGATGAACAGGAGAGGGGGAGAGGACACGTTAGCTGTTTTTCTTTTCCTGCTTATTCCACAGCGCTAACACCACGTTAAAGTCCGAATCACGCTGTTCCCTACACAACATGTTTTAATAAAAACAAAGGTGCACGTCTGTGCCCCTAACTGTACAGTCTTTACTATAAAACTACATTTAAATTATGCAGCAACTCCCAACAGAGAAGCTTCTAAATAAAAGCTTCTTTAAATAAACAAGAGTCGGACTGTGATTTAAGCCAATGGGCCCAGATGTCAGTGGTGATATCTCCTTCCATTACTTATTTTATTATTTTCCCATTACTAAACACTCTACCTGTACAACTAATAATATTACCCTTCAGATCATCTGTACTTTGTGTTTAATCCTAATTAGTGGACATTCATTTTATCTTAAGTGCTTCTAAACCACGACAGCGCACAGTTCTGCAGTGTGCAGGCCTCTAACTGAAACTGAACCCTCAAACTGAGTGGTTTTAGTGCTGTACTCTTATCTAGATGGGACCTACACTTATGTAAAACTACAGCTCCTGCACAGTTGTGTCCAGTTTGCATAACACTTGCAATCCTGCACATGAGTGGAAAATTTCATCTGTACCTATCGGGCCAAGACAGCAATAATCAGGGAGGAGGCTGTGGTTCAGCTGTGAATTTATTACACTGGCTGCAGTTTTGGACGGCCTGAGGCGACGCTTCCCCCCCATCAGGGGGCCAGAGGCCCGCAGTGGCAGTGAGTGAGCAGGACCGAAATAACACAAAGTCACAGCAAGTTACATTTGTTTGCTGTGCTGCTTTAAATCAGGATTGCTCTCAACAAGGACTCTGGAGGGCATTAAAGGACAAAGATATGTGGGAAATAAGTCATATTTGGACAAATTAGGTACAAGATTAAATTCACTGATTAAGCATTTACTCAAACATTTGCTTTTTTTCTTCTGACTTAACATGACCTGTGCAAACCTCACTGAACGAGGGAGGAACCCCTGTTATTGTGTTAGCGTTGTCAAAAGAGGGCAAATATAAGCTACAAATCCAATCATCTAAGCATCTAAGAAGGGCCAGACACATCTCTGAGGTCCTCTCAGGCCTTTGCTGCGTCTTTCCCATTTCTCAAGAACAAGATTTTCAGATACTGTTCATCTGCTGCCATCTACTCTTTTGTCTTCCACTTGTTCAGTTCCTCCACATTTAAAGAAACTCTACAGTTTTTGGCGAATAGCTCTTGAGGAATCACATTTTCATTGCAAACATACTACCATTTTGTGACTGTCAAACAGTTTGGCAATTTTTGTAAATTCAACTTTTACGACAGGCTGCTAGTAACAAAAGGGCTAAAGATAGAATTTAAAATTGGTTTACTGCTAAATTGCCTGTTGTGCATAGATGATACTGCTTCATCTCTTGAGTTAGGTGCTTGAATGATTCATATTTCAGTGTTAAGTAAGTTAACAAACAAAAACATCCATCTATAAACGGTCTGGCGCAAGGACGGGACTGAAAGTGAGTGAAAAAGCTTCTGCTCACAGAAGTTTTGAAAGACCTTTAGAAACCCTGAAGAACTATTGCTTCAGACCACTTTAAAAAACAACAACAACAACAA